CGTGGGGCCTGGTTCTCCTTCTCCTCCCTTCTCTCTGATTTTTTTTTGAGACCAGGTCTCAGACCTGAATTCTTGTACTGTAGCTGTGCACTAGCATGCCTGGTTCATTTCATTTAAATAAACTCATATTATTCTCTCTCTTTATAGTGTACGTGAATACACATATAGGTACATTTTCATGATATAGGAAATTGAAAAATACAGGCAAATAAAAAGAATATAGCAGTTACCACTTAGAGACACACCTTCCTTCCTTTCCTTTCTGTCTCTCTCCCCCACCCCTTTTCTTTCTTTCTAAAAGTCTCTCAGCTACCCCAGGCTGGCTCCAAACTCTCTATGTAGCTGAGCATTCTTTGACTTTGATTCTCCTGCCTCACTGCTGGGATTATAGGCATGAACCACCATGAAGTGCTGGGGATTGAACCCAGAACTTTGTGTGTGCCAGGGAAGCACTCTACCAACTGAGCTACATCCCCAACCCCAACTCTCTTTCCCAAGCACGTAAATTTTAAACAAAACTGTGACTGCACAATACATCATTCTACATTTGACAACATGTGTATTTATTCCTGTACCATTAGATATTTTTTGGCTTTTAATGGCCTCATTGACTTTCACTGGGTGTCTGTATCATAATTTACTTAATGTATTTTCAAGGGTTGTTTAGGCTGCTTCATTTGTGTGTGTGTTTTGTTTAGTAGCTGTCTTAGTTGCATTTTCTGTTGCTGTGAAGGGAATCCTGACAAAAGTGGTTTAAAGGAGAAAGGGTTTATTTGGTTCACAATTCCAAGTTACAGTCTATCATTATGGGGATGAAGGAGAAAAAGAAAAAAAAAAACCTTGAAGCAGCTAGTCTCATTACATCTACAGCCAAGAGCAGAGAGTAATAAGTTAATGCAAACATGCTTGCTTAGCCCACACAGCCCAGAAATCCTCTGCCTAGGGAGTGATATCACCCACAATGGACAAATCTCCTCAATTCAATTAGTTTAATCAAGAAAATATTTCACAGACATAGCCAGAGCTATAACTGCTAGATGGTTCTACTTCCCGTGAAGTCAGTAATTAAAACCAATCATCACAGCATCTTTATTTTTAGTTAGGGTTCTGGTAGTTTAGGCTGAACTCAAATTCGCTATCCCCTTGTCTATTCAAGTGCTGGGATTACAGGAAGGTACCACCATAACCCACTTTTTGTTGATTTTTCATTTTATGTGTGTGTTTTACATCATGTATGTACATCATGTGCATGACTGGTGCCCTTGGAGGTCAGAAGAGGGCATAAAATCCCCTGGAACTGGAATTACAGATGGTTGTGAGCCATCACGTGGGTGCTGGGAACTGAACCCAGGTCCTATGAAAGAGCAGTCAGTACTCTCAACTGTTGAGCCACTTCTCCAGCCCATGTTTTTAATGAACACTTGTAGAGTTAAATGTCTGTTCACATGTCAATCCCAGCTCCCTCTCCCTCCCCTCCTCCCCCGCCCTCCCCACCAGGTCCCCCAGTACCCCACGCAATCTCCACTCCGATCACCAAGGAGGGTGAGGCCCTCCATGGTGGATCTCCAGTGACTGTAATTTCATCCAGGGCAGGGCCTAGGCCCTCCCCCAAGAGTCCTAGCTGAAAGAGCCTCCATATTGTGGCATGAGCACTCAAAGTCTATTTGTATGCCAGGGGTAAATACTACCCAAGGCCCCATAGATTACTATGTGAGGCCTCCTCACTGACATTCAAGGGGTCTGGGTCAGTCCAATGCTTTCCACGCAGCCATCAATCTGGGAACCAAGAGCTCCCCTTGTTCAGGTCAACTGTTTCTGTGGGTTAAACCAGCCCAGTCTTAACTCCTTTGCCCATCAGTTCACTTTCTTACTTTCTTAATCAAACTCTCGGCCAGAAAAAGAACAAGTCAGTTTCTAATCCTTTAAGACATTGTCTTGGTTATCAGGCAGAGATTAAATAAATAATGTAAAAGTCAATATTTTAATGTCAAGATCACATTCCGAGTGTCCATTTCCCACAGTTCGTAGCCTGTGTTCTTGAAAGCAATCTGGATACTGTGGCTTTGGACTGCTTGTTTTCTGTACTTAAGCATTTATAACAAGTGATGTGTGCTCCTTCACACTGGGTGTGAGAATCACATTTCTCTTCTTTCTCCAAATCAAAGTTTACATGTTCCAAGTGCCCACCCCACAGTGCTGGGAAGACATTCCATCCCAATTGTTATAACCGATGGCCAGCTTCTGACCATGGGAACGTCTGGGCCTTTCTGGCTATGACTCCACTTAGCTACCACACACATTTCTCATTCAAGATGGCATGGCCCCCAAATGCACTGGGTCTTTTCTCAGCTGGAGTCCAGGAGCCTTGCTCACAATGCCCCCAGCTAGTATGTATCATGAGTTACTCTTTGATGGAGATGTTTAGGACAGAATAATGGCTTATACTTGTAGCTCTCAGGCTGCTGCCCCAAATTCCATGAACTGAAGACCAGAGGAAGGGAAAATGCTGAGGCTTAAACAGGTTAAAGAGATCTAGGTGCTGCATAGCCAGCCTGCTGGCCATTGTTAAAGCCGATTATTGGCAGCTCAGCAGCAGCCAGGAAACTGGTTACCTTCCCCCAACCCTTCGTTTGTTCAGAATCACTGGAGTACCAGGCATTCAGACCAAAGTCCAGCACCACGAAACACGTTTATTTATTTATTTATTTATGCATTGCCATTTTGGCTATATTTATGTATGTGTAAGTGTGCCAGATCCTTTAGAACTAGAGCTACAAATAGTTGTGAGCTGTCATTTGGGTGCTGGGATTTGAACCCAGATCCTCTGGAAGAGCAGCCAGTGCTCTTAACCACTAAGCCATTTCTCCAACCTTCTATGGAATGTTTTGAGTGTGCAGATCTAAGAGGAGGCAGCAGCTGGGAATGGGAGATAGGACGGAAAGCCACAATGGCTGACACAGGGCTTCTTTCTGGCACCTTCCCTGGCACTGGGCATAGCTGAGAATCTTAGGTTTGGGCAACTGGTAGCTTCCACTTTAAAATTCATTTCTGTTCTGCCACTACTTGTTGGTGGCATCATCCTGACAAATAATACCTTGATAAATATCGTGACTCTCAGTTTCTTCATCAGTAAAAAGATTGATACAGAAAAAAATTGCCTTTACTAAATTTCTGTTACATTCAGGGTTGTGAGGACATGGAGGCTCTTATTCATTAATGTGATTCAAGAGAGTGGGTTTTGCCAGGCATGGTGCCTCGCACACACCTTTAATCCCAGCGTGTGGGAGGCAGAGGCAGGCAGATCTCTGTGGGTTCAAGGACAGCCTGTTCTACAGAGTGATTCTCAGGACAGCCAGGGCTACACAAAGAAACACTGTCTTGAGGCACAATTTCATTTATATGTAAACACATATATAGGCCAGAAGTCAACCTCAGGTATGATTCCTGAGGAGATGTCCACTTTGTGTTTCATGTTTTTCACTGAGACTTGGGCCTCACTGAGTAAGTTAGGCCATCTATAAATCAAGACATTCATCAACATCTGCTTGATTTTTTTATTTATGCTTTGGGGATTGAACTTTATACACTGAACTCTCTATGCAGTATACTAAAAAATCCTGAATAATACAATCATTCCTTTGTTATTTAACAGGAAAATTGTTCTTTCCTGTTTATGTGTGTCTGAGTTTAGATTTCTCTATGTGCATATGAGAATATTAAGCTAACTGTGGGGGGGTTGCATTTTTAAATATCCAAACTCCTTAAATTTGTTTACCTTGTATAACTTCCTAAATTACTTCGTACTTGTAAAATCTGGAAGATATGATGAAATAGATTACATTGTGATGTTGTCCGGAAAAAAACAACAACCCTGTCTTGAAAATCCAAAAGAGGAAAAAAAGAAACAAAGGGAAGGGAGGGAGAGGGGAGGGGGGGGGAGGGGAGAGAGAGCGAGAGAGCTTTGTACTCAGATGTAGCAGGTGACACATTCTGTCACTTATTACTGTCACTTATTACCTGTAGGGCCACAGAAACTCACCCAGTGTTTGAATCATATTTCCTCACTATACAAAGCGAATCACAGCCAGACGTAGTTCACGCCTTTAACTCACAGCACTTGGAAAGCTGAAGCAGGGCTACTATGAATTCAAGAATAGCTTGAGGTGCAGATCTTGTCTCAAAACAAAAGCAAAACGAAACCAAAATCCCCATAAAACCCAGCTTTAAGATAGTTTGGTAGGTAAAAGTGCTTGCTGTCAACCCTGACAATCGAATTTGATTCCAGGATCCACCATGGTAGAAGGGAGGAGAGAACCAATTAGACCTCCACACCCGTACCTCTACCTCACTCCCACAAATAGATGTAATAAAGAAAAACTTTTGAAGCATTAATTATTTTAAAAGGAGAAAAATCATATTTCCTCAAGTCCGAGGACGGAATAAAATAGTGTGTTGAGCTGGGTGTGGGTGCACACCTATAAGCCTAGCACTTGGGATGCAAAGGCACAATCTCTCCTCCGTGCAGCAGAAATGAACCATTGTTATGGTGCCAGCACAGATCATGAAAAGTCATGGAGGCGTCAAACAAGAGTTGGGGTGAAATCTCATAACTATCTTTACATTTCCATTGACACCTTTAAAAACACTCTTTGGTTTTGGGGCTCTTCGGTGGAGAAAGAGTCCGGGGGGCAAGAGTCTGTGGCCATTCGAAGCCTTCGGAGGCGAGCTGGACTACGGAGCCCCGCTGGAGCCCATGCAGTAGTTGGTGGGTTCCCTAGATGACTCACAGACTTTTGACGCGTGGCAGGCAGTTCAGAACAGCCAATCGCGAGGGAGCGAGAGACCGAGGGGCGGGGAGATCGCTGTCTGGTCGCGGTGATTGGCCAGCGGGCGCGCCGCCACGTCACGTGACCGCCACGCCGCGGGGCTCCTTCCGCACCTTTCCGCAGCAGACCCTGGCGGGCCGCCTCTTTGGGGCCGGGCCATGGGCGGGGACAGTGGCCTGGGGAATAAAGGGAGGGTCGCTCGCAGCCGGGCCGCCTATGCCCGTGCGGCGGCGTCCCCGCAGCCCAGTCTTACGGGAGCACGCGCCGCGGGAGCCCGGGCAGGGCGGCCGGAGCCTTAAGGTGAGGACAGAAGGTGGGAGGGGAACGCCGCGCTCAGCAGGGCGTCTGCGGCCAAACGGGACAGGCGCTGCCCTCCTCGCACCGGGCAGACCTCGGCTGGCGCCCGGATTGGAAGGAAGGAAGCTCCATCTCCACCTTCCACTCCTGGTTAGGTACAACACTCAGTACAGAAATCCTTTTACACTTACTGGAACTGGGATTCTTTCAGTGGATAGGTGGACGGACACAGTAAGAAGTCACCTAAAATGACAGCAAGTCCCTGGCAGAGCTAGTAAGTGAACCCCAGCTTTCCCCAGTGCAGCGTCAGGCTGCGTCCTTGTCTTTCACAAATTGGGGTTCATCAGTGGTTTACAAGCATTCAGTCTTAAGTTCCTTTTCTGGCACTATACTAGTGTTACTTTTCCTCTTTACCTCACGCCTCTTTTTGGCTGTAGGGTTGCTGGGGCTTGAACCTGAGGCCAACCCCAAGTGTGCTTCTGGACTATGCTCATAGCTTGAACCCCACGATTCTTTATGGGACATCTAGAGCCAGTGTGATATACTGTGTTGGCTATAGAAGAAATTCTTGTTTTTGAAAGTTAGATCAGAGGAGAGAGGAGAAAAGTGGGAAGGGGAGGGGGAGGGGAGAAGCGAATGGGGGAGGAGAACAAGAGAACGGAGACAGGGGAAGAGAATAGGGGAGGGCAAGAAAGGAGATGCCTGGATTGAGGGAGCCAGTACAGGTTTGGAGAGAGGTCTGGCACAGGGGAAATGTTAGGGGATCCACAGGGATGACCCCCACTAAGAAAGTAGTGGAGAGGCTGCCTTTGATGCCCTCCCCTATGATGAGATTGATGATGACCTTAGTTGCCACTCCTAGAGCTTTTATCCAGTAGCTGATGGAAGCAGAAACAGGCACACACAGCTGAGCACTGACCCATACCCCCGGAATCCAGTTGCGGAGAGGGAGGAGGGATGAGCAAAGGAGCCACGAGAAACCCGCAGAAACAGTTAACCTGACCTAACGAGAGCACGGAAACCCTACTCATAAAGCTAGGGAACCAGCATTGGACTGAACCAAGCTCTCTGAATGTGGGTGCCAGCTAGGAGGCCAGGGCAGTCTATGGGGCCTCTAACAGTGGAGCCAGTGTTTATTCCTAATGCACAAATGAACTTTGGGGGCCCATGGAGGTATACTATTGCATCCCTGATACGGGATTGAGGGTCTGGGCCCTCCCCCAAATGATGTGACTTTGATGGTCCCCCATGGAGGGCTTTACTATGGGGGGGTCAGTGGGGAGCATGGGAGGATGGGAGGGCTAGGGAATGGAGGGAGTGATATGTAAATAAGAGTGCTTCTAAAATTAAGAAATTAAAAAATAAAAAGAAAAGAAAATTAGATCAGTAAAACAATGGAGGATCATTTAAGGATGTTAAGGATTGCCGGAGACATAGGATAGTAGTTATTATGTATTGCATAAATACATCTGGCTCATATACTGTACTATTCTGAGGTCTTGTGTGAGATACTTGGTAATCTCTCCATTTTACAGGTCAGAAATTGATGACAGTAATTTTAATGCAGTAACACAAAGCTGTTGAACAGTAGCTGGGGTCTGAATGCATATCTGATGTCTCCTACTAGTTTGCCAGCTCTGGTCCCAGGCTCATTACCTCTGCATCACCCAGAATATCGAGGCTTCTATTTCCTATGATTTGCAGGGCAGGCCCAAGAATCAGCATTTTTATCAGCAGTCTATGCTGAAATCACTGTATAGTTCTGTGATGTGCTGCCCCCTAGAGGAAAAGCTAGAGATGAACATATTCAGGACTTTGGAGCTCCAAATTGTATTCTAGGGTGAATTTGAAAAGTAGAAAGTGTAAACTTTGAGTGAGCAAAACCCAAGTAGATGCTTAACGAACTATAGTGTTTGATGCAGTCTTTATTATAGTATCTTGTACAAAGAGGCACACACACTTGGTGAGTTAGGTGCAAATATAGGAAATAATTCCCTTTGCACTTGGTGAGCTAGATTAGAATAAAGGAAATAATTCCCTTTGCACTTTGTGAGTTAGAGGAGAATAAAGGAAATAATTCCCCTTTCTTCCTGCAAAACACTTAAACTGTCATTCATCCACTTTGCAAATACTTTTGAAGCACTTAATAGGTGTTAGGCAGGCAATTTGAGGTTACAGTTTAAAGTTAAGTATAGGGACTGGGAAGATGGCTCAGTGCTAAAGATTGTTCTGCTCTTGCAGGGGACTTGAGTTAGGTTCCCAGGACCTGATGGGTGTCTAACAACCACTTGTTACTCTAAGGCTGTCCTCCCTCACACTCACACAAGCATGCACACTCGCACATGCATGCACACTCACACATGCTTGCACACTCACACGTGCTTGCACACTCACACATGCTTGCACACTCGCACGTGCTTGCACACTCACATGCTTGCACACTCATACATGCACGCACACTCACACGTGCTTGCACACTCACACGCGCACGCACACTCACACATGCATGCATACATATAATTAAATGAATTTTAAGTGAATATATAATATGAGGTGGCATGGGGGAAAGCATCAAGCCAAAGAGAAGGGGATGGCTCCAAGAGGCAGATCTGCAGATGGCAGGGGTGCTAATTTACACGCTGTGTTCAGGAAGAAACTGATTGGTAAGGTGACGCTTGAGAGAAATAAAAAAGAACAAGGTGTGAATATATAATTGAGGAAGGACATTCCAGCTAGAAGCAAACAAACAAACAAGCTATGGAAGGAGCCAGAGCTTGGTTGGTTGAACTCATCTGGGATGCCCTTATGTTAACCCGATTATAATACAGAGGTAAATTTTATACTGTTGCTCCTAGTAGAAAATGAAAGAATTTTAATGATACATGCATATAATATAAAGCAAACGAGGGCTGGGGAGATGTCTCAATGGGTAAGAGGGCTAGTTACATAAGCAGGTGGACCTGAGTTCAAATCCACAAGACCCATGTAATAATTGGCCATGACCACTGCAAGTGTCATGCGAGGTGGAAACGGGAGGATCTCAGGAGCCCACTGACCCACCAGCCTAATTGACACTGTGAGTGTTGGGTTCGGTGAGACCCTGTTTCAGAAAGTAAAGTAGAGGGCCATCAAGGTGGCTTAGTGGGTAAAGGCAATTACTGCACTAACTTCAATCCCCAAAACTCATGTAAAGGTAGGAGGTAGAAATCAAGACCTGATTCCACAAAGTTGTTCCCCAGCCTGCATACTCATGTGCCAGCATGTGTACACATAACAATAATAAACTTTTTAAGTTAAAAAGGTATGTACAAGCCGGCGTTGGTGGTTGCACGCCTTTAATCCCAGCACTCGGGAGGCAGAGGCAGGTGGATCTCTGTGAATTCGAGGCCAGCCTGGTCTACAGAGCGAGTTCCAGGACAGCCTCCAAAACAATACAGAGAAACCCTGTCTCAAAAAAAATAAAAAAGATATGTACAGTATAGCATGCATATACACACACATATATATGACTATAAATGTATTTTAATTTCTAATTAAATATATCATTTCCTCCCTTTGATTTCCTCCCTTCAAACCTTCCAATGCCCCTACTTCTTTTTGCCCTCTTTTTCTTTAACTGTTATTATTACATATATCTATAAATGCATACATATATAAATACAGTGTACTGAGTTTCTTTAGCATTACTTGTTTGTATATGATTTCAGGGCTAACCATTTGGTATTAGATAACCAGTTTAGGGGCTCATCCCTGGGGAAGACTAGTTTACCCACTTTTAGCTTTCCTTAGTTGCCTATAGTTCTTTGTCTATGGGTAGGACCCAGTGAGATTTCCTCCTTCCATGTTGACATGTGTATTGGTGTCATCCTTGTTTGTGTCTTGTTTAGGAAACCATTGTTGAGATATGGGTGAAGCCTCCCCATCATTTCTATGAGATCATCTCACAGCTGACTTCCGTGTCCTCTGGCTCTTAGTCTTTCTGTCCCCTCTTCAACAATGTTCCCTGAGCCTTAGGTGTGGGAGTTGTGTTGTAAATGTATCCATTGGGGTTGGACACCCCACAATCAGTCGTTCTCTGTATTTTGATGTGTTGTGGTTTTCTGTAATTGCATCCATCTGCTGCAAAGAGAACCTTCTAATGGGGGGTGACAGATACATACATTTACCTGTTGATGTAAGTATTTAGAATGAAGTTAGGAATTATGCTGGATTAGTAAACTGGCAATAGTAGGCCCTCCTCTGAGATTCGTGACTTCACTAGCCCTAGGTAGTTGCCTAGGTTTACAGTATCAGGCATAAATTCCTCCCGCCAGCAGGCCTTAAGTCCAATTAGATGGCTATGAGTGCCATTATTGCACCTTGCTATGTTGATCGCTGTGTGGTTCACAGGCATCGCAGCTGGGTAGGACTGTTGATGGTTCCCTCCTTTGGAAGCTTGAATTGTCCCATTGAAACTAGTCCTTAGGGAGGAGGCTTTCAGGTCAGATCAAACGTGGATTCTTTGGGTCCTATGTCTGAAGTGCAACAGTGTCTGCAGCAATAGGGACTTAACCTCCAATTTCTGGAAGACGACAGTGGGTAGCCCCAGTAGCCTATATTGTTTTGGGTGACTCTTGTACTCCCTGACCAACAACTCAAAACCTATATCCTACTATTCTCATTTCTTGGGCTCCACCTCCTCCCCCTAGAATCCCTTCTATTTTCGGGTCTCTGTGGTTACTCCAGGTTATATATACTCACATCTGAAGATCTGGGGTTAGAAACCACAGATGAGTAAGAACATGTTCCTTTTTGTCTTCTGGGTCTGGGTTGCCTTCCTCAATGTAATTAATACTTCCTAATTCCATCCATTTACCTGAACATTCATGATTTCATTTTTCTTTACAGCTGAATAGTATTTTGTTGTGTATATGTACCACATTTTCATCATCCATTCAAATATTGAAGGGCATCGAAGTTGTTTCCATTCCCTAGCTATTGTGAATAGAGCAGGAATGAACATAACTGGAAAATAAATACTCCCTGAGGACTAGCTTTCATAATACCAGAAGGTGCAGGGTTCCATGGGAGGGAAGCAGCCAGTAGTCCTGTCCAGGCTAGATCCAGCTCAGGTCCTCCAAGTGAGCATATGTGGAGTAGGGTGTTGAGTCCTTCAAGCATAGGCCAGGGAGTGGCACAGCTGGGCCACAGGGTAGATTTATTCTCAGTGTTCTAAGAATTCTCCACACCGATTCTCAGAGTAGCTGGACCAGCTTGCAACCCCACCAACAGTGAATGAGGGTTCTTTTTCCTCACATCCTTCCCAGCATTTGTTGTAGGTTGTTTTGTTGATGGTAGCCATTCTGACTAGTGTCAGAAAAGTCTCAAACGTTGTTTTGGTTTGCATTTTGATAATTGCTAATGGTGATGAACATGTTTCTATTACTTCTTTTGAGAACTCTGTTCAGATTCCCAAGCCCATTTTTTGAATGGGTTTTGTTTTGTTTTTTCCTCTTTGTTTTGAGTTATTTATAACTTCTGGGTCTTTTCCATAAGATATATAGCTGGTAGAGATTCTCTCCCATTCTATGGGTCCCCTGTTCACCTGATTGATTGATTGATTGATCAGCTGTGCAGAAAGCTTTTTATCTTTATGAGGACTCACTTGTCAGTTGTTGGTCTTAATTCTTAGGTGCAAAGAGTCCTGTTCAGAAAGTCCCTTCCTATACTTACATCTGTAGGGCACTGCCTATACTTTCTCCTAGCAGTTTCAGTGTTTCAGGTTTCGTGATGAGGCATTCAATCCATTTGGACTTAGGTTTTGTGCAAGGTTGACAGATGGGGGTCTAAGTTCCTTCTCCTGCATTGGATACTCAGTGTTCCCAACACCACTTTTGAAGATGCTATCTTCAAGGTGTGTCTTGTGTAGGGCACATGCTTAGTATGTATGAGGCCCTGGGGTCAAGCTCCAGCACTCCACATGATCCCCTCCCAAAGAAAATAAATGGAGATGTCAGGAAAAGACTGCGACCCAGAAATGGCTGCTTAGTGTTTGTGGGCTGCAGATTGGAACACGGGTGCACGGGGGGAAAACAGGAGATGGGTTTGTTCTTAGAGGGAAGACGTTTAGTAATAGATAGAAGCCTTGGCAGAATTCAGAGACACAGATCTAAATTGTTGACCTCACAAAAAGGCTATTTCTTCCAGAGAGGCAGGTCACAGTGGTTATGAAATGTCATAGCTGTGTGTGTGTGTGTGTGTGGTGTGTGTGTACATAAAATTATGCTTGTTTTAAGACAAAGTTTCATGTAAACCATGCTGGCCTCAAACTTGCTGTATAGACTGAGGGTGACCTTGAACTGTTGCTCCCCCTACCTCTACCTCCCAAGTATGGAGATTAGAGGCATATATCGTTACATCAGCACATCATCTGCCGAAAGCCCAAGAAATAGGAATCTTCCCAGAACAGTCTGTGTAAAGGAGCAGCACTATGGCCAGGTCTGCCCAGATTTAGTAATCTGATGAGTGTGACACAGATGGGTTATACAGTATACTAGAGTCACAGTTATCTCAGGGAATTTTCCATCAACATTTGTTATGAGAGGTTTGGGGTCCCAGAGTTTGCTAATCCAGACTTTGCACCACATATATCATAAAGTCATGGATGAAGAAGTTTAGAATTGCTCTATTGACATTAGGCATCCATTCTCCAAGAATATTGTCCCCTCTGGAAATCTTACTGTATTCAGAGACTTTGGGTATCATTTCCAGAGAGATTTAAAAAAAAATAATAAAAGGAAGGCTGAAGAGCATAGGGAATTGAGTGGTGGTTGATTAGCATAGCAATGTGCAGTATGTTTGGAGAATGGAAGCTTATGGCCATGCCTGAATTTTACTGAATATGCCTCACCAAAGAATTCTTAAGAAGCACCTAGAATTTGCTGTCAAATTCCAGTGTTTACTATCATCACAAAATCAACATCATAGTTTTTGAGGTTGACAAGATTTATTTGTTTTGTCTGGATGATGGATTTGCAGTTTTAAAACTGACTTGAAATAGTAACAGCAAACTTGCCTATACAGGAATATTTTATAAATACATTGACATGGAGATGTATAGGAGCCAACAAGAGTCTTAGGTTTAACAAAACAACAGTATCTCTGTTCTTTCTATGCCCTGGTTCTCTGTATCCTACTGAATCATCCAGGATTTGATTAGCTGTGTGTGGGCTGTGCTGTAAAATGCTTGAGCTGCATTCCATCTCAGTGTGCAATGGGAGAGCTCGGAACTTCATGATTTTTATACTTTGAGGGAAAAAAATAACAAGCTGTTATATTTGAGAAGAAACCAAATGACCATGTAAAGTACGTTTTAAGAAGAAGCTCATGAGATAGGCACGTGCACTTATGGGACCGCCGTCACTGAATCATTTCTTGTTTCTCTTCGTCACCCACCCTCACCAATGCTTTTCTTTGCAAGCACCTTCACACCATTGGATCAGTACTGCCATTTTCACCACTAAACTACACACTCAAAGAACAACCATAAAGATTTGATTGTCGTGGTTAAAAGAGAGATCCTAGAAGTCAAGAGCATTGGTTGCTCTTCCAGAGGACTTAAATTCAGTTCTCACCACCCACGTAATGACTTACAAGCTTTTGTAATTCCACCTGGATTTGGACTCTTTTGGACTCCACAGGTACTGAATGCAATAATGCACAGGTATATGTGCACGCAAAACACACGTATGTGAAATAAAAAATTAAGCTGGGCATGGTGGTACATGCCTTTAATCCCAGCACTTGTGAGGCAAAGGCAAGTGGATCTCAGCCTAGGCTACATAACAAGTAACATCCCAGCCAAAGCTACATACATAGTGATTAAATTAATTTTTTATTTCCAAAATTGGCATATTTAAAGTTGAACACCATCCTAATAGATCTTTTTTAAAATATCCCTATGGGGAGGGGGTTTCGAGCACAGGAACTCCTGCATGTGTGGACACATACTGATCTGCTGGTAATAAATTCAGTGTCTCCATCTTTTAAAGGATTTTTTTTTCTGAGTGGGTTTCTAGGTTAAAAGTTACTACTTTAAAGAAATCGTCTCCTGGCTTCCATCGGTTTCAGGATATGTACTGTAATTCCATCTGTTTCCCTGTGTAAGTGGCATGCATCTGTCTTCAGAAGTGTCCTCTGAGCAACAGTGATAGAAATGTGCTGGGTTTTGCTTTTCTGTCTATCCTTCTGAATAGTCTTGAGATTCGTGGACCTCTGCTTCAGTGTTTCATGAATGTTTAACAATCCTTGGCCATTAAACTTTGAGATCTTTCCTCTGCCCATTCTCTGCCTTCCTTTTGGGGATTTTGATTCTGTGTTTAGATAGTTTAATACATCACTCTTGGATATTCTGTTATATTAAACATTTGTTTTTTATTTTTGTTAAACTGTTTTAAGGTTGGGTAATTTCTGTTGAGCTGACTTTTGAGTTCACTGATTCTTTCTTTGACTCTGTCAAATTTACTGGTAAGCTGGTCAAAGGAATTCATCCTTTCTATTGGTTTTTCTTATTTTTAGCATTTCTACTTGATTATAGTTTGTGTTTCTTAGGCATTTTTCAAATTTGTTCTTATTTTCCTTCTTCCCTATAGCAGCCATAGAGGTGAAATTTAGGTCTGGTTATTGTTATTACTATTATTATTAGTAGTATTTTAACATTTCTTTTTCTTATCTTAGGTTTAGAAAAGCCCCTTGACCAAAGACTGCCCCAGACAGAAAATCACTCAAACAGGCTCGGGAAAACAGGCAGTGAGAAGACGGACTCTGTGTTGAGGACCAGCCTACTAACTGTTTGACTTGCTCGGGGTCAGTAGTCTTCTAGATCTGGCCTTTTCCCCTTCTGGATTTCCTAAAGACCATCAAAATAATTATTACTTTTCTCTTGTTCAACACATAAAGAAACATGGGTAATCTTTATGTGTCTTGTGTTTTTGAATAGAATATGGGCGCTTAGATTGTAACACCTTGGTAATGATAGGTCTTTGGAACCTGACAAAGGTCCTTTTTCCCCATCAATTCAGAACTTCCAGAGTCCTCCACCTATTTTGCCTCTATTTGGGCATAGTCACAATGTGTTTGTTTTTGGATTGACTCGGACATCTGTGTTATATTTGGTGGTGACCACATTGGTGGACAGATTGACATACCTTTTCTTGCAGGAGCTGCAGAGGCTCCTGCTTGATTAACAGGTACAGAATGCCACAGATACTGAGGGAGACTGATCCATTTGAGCTCAGGGGATCCCTTGCTGATGTTAGTAATGGTAGCATTTCAGCTGGATTGTACAAAATCATTAAGGTCTTGAGAGAGAGATGGCCATGCTAGGTGTCTTAGTCAGGGTTTTTATTGCTTTGAAGAGACACCATGACCACAGCAACTCTTTTTTTTTAAACTTTTTAAAAAGATTTATTTATTTATTTATTATGTATACAGTGTTCTGTCTGCATGTATCCCTGCAGGTCAGAAGAGGACACCAGATCTCATTCTAGATGGTTGTGAGCCACCATGTAGTTGCTGGGAATTGAACTCAGGACCTCTAGGAAGAGCAGCCAGTGCTCTTAACCTCTGAGCCATCTCTCCAGTCCAAGACTGTGTATTTTTATGTCTGATGTCAAAACACTCTTCAGATCTCCAACTCCTCTCAGCTTTGTTGACTGCAGCACACTTCTTTCTCTTGTGCTGGTTCACTCCTTGTTAGCAGCTCTCCTCAGCAGGTATCCGATGACGCTGACATCTCTAACATCTTGGGTTCTCTAAAGCAATCCAGGCTTTGACTTCACAGTTTTAAGCAATGGCCTCTCTACTAGGCCTCCATTCAGGGATGCCCCTGACACATGCCTGACCTCAGTGTTTTTCTTAATTCCTTTTCACAAGTTGAAATTTTAACTGGGTAGGATCTTTCCCTGAGGTCACCACTCCCTTTATTCCATTTCTCAATATGTTTATATCCTTGAACACATTCTACTTCCTGATGCTCTTTTTCTCCTCAAATTTTACATTTTGTAATTTACCTTGCTCAGTTTGTTCTTTTTCATTATAAATCTTCATAAGTTACCACTAATAACCACATGACAAAGTCTATACCAGACTGTTTTGAGATTTTCCTCTGCCAGTGGAATTAATTCAAAAGTCTTCATTTTAGCCTCAGTCAGACTCTTTGGACAAGGGCAAAAAGCAGCCACTTTCTTCACCAAAATATCACAAGACTGTCTCTAAGCCACATACTAACATTCTTCTCCTCTGAAACCTCTTGATTCCCACAGTTCAAATAACTCTTGGTACCATTGTCTTCCCTGCCTCTACTAGTATGGCCCATTAAGCAGTGCTTAAAGCATTCCACTGTTTTCCTAACCCAAAGTACCAAAGTCCAAATTCCTAAAAACAAAACAAAACATGGTCAGGCCTATCACAACAATATCCCAGTTCCTGGTTCTAACTTTTGTCTTAGTTGGTGTTTTTATTACTGTGAGAGACACTATGGCCATGGCAACTCTTATAAGGAAAACATTTAATTGGGGTGGTTTGCTTGAAGTTTCAGAGGTTCAGCCCATTATCATCATTGTGGGGAGCATGGTAGAGTGCAGGCAGACATGGTGATGGTTAAATCTCCATTAGAAGGCAACAGGAAGTCAACTGAGACACTGTTGGTATCCAGAGTATAGGAAATCTCAAAACCTCCCTCACAGTGACACACTTCCTCCAACAAGACCATATGCACTTCAACAAAGCCACACTTCCTAATAGTGTCACTCCCTATGAGATTATGAGGGACAATTATGTTCAAATTACAACACTAGGCTAAGTTCACAGTTTACGCAGAGCTTCTTTGTGCCATGTTCACTGACAATTTACTATGCTCCTTTAGGAGCCTGGTTCTTTTCTTCTTCTTTTAAGATCTTGTGTTGTCTTTTCTTTTTTGTTATTTTTGTCTTTTTGTTTTGTTTTATTTTCTTCTACTTCTAGTGGTAGATCCTTGACACTAGATCTGGAGTTTATGGCCCAGGGATGTAGGGTTACTTGTGTATCTTTCAAGTAGAAGTTCTGGGCAACATTACTTCTCTGCTTAGCCTGTGAAGACCATTGGTAGCATATGGGAAGGAGAAAGTCTGCCCTGATATATTTTTGGAGAAAAATCTTCAGAGGATCCAAAAAAATACAAAGGAGAATCTTTAGTGTTCTCGAGAAGTTCTGTACCAATCCAGGGACTTTCTGTTTATAGTCTTCTGGTCTTTCTCCCTGATGCCTCCCGGGCCAGGACAAATGAGGTTCAATAAAGAATATTTGAGATATCTATCCCTGCAGGCTGAGCATAGTACCTCATGCTTTTAATTCCAGTATAAAGGAGGCAGAGGCAGAGGCAGGTGGCTCTCTGTGAATTTTAAGCTAGCTTGGTCTGCATAACAAGTTCCATGTCAGCCAACACTGTGTAGTGAAACCCTGCCTCAAAAGAAAAAGCCTACCCCACAAATGATAAGTAGGACTGTTAGTACTGTGAACTAGTTTATAAACTAACATATATATTTTCTCCGTGGTAGGAAGGAAGCCATCTATCTCCAGAAATGTCTTTGGAAAATAAAGAGCAGCATGACCTCTCTCCGAGGGACTTACCTGAAGAAGCCTACAGTCTTCCATCTGAGGCCCCCCTGGAGGTGCAAAGGAGATCAAGCACTGACTTCAAGCAGTTGGAGACCGATGATGGATGCAGACCTTATCGTAGGATTCACATGGAACCTCAGGAGAAACCAGATATTAACATCAAAAAAGTTGTCATCAGAAAGATGCAGAAGAGTTGCCAGTGTAGCCCAGGCAAAGTCAGAAATATCATTTTTGATTTCTTTCCTGTTTTGCGGTGGCTCCCAAAATATGATCTCAAGAAAAACATTCTAGGAGATGTGATGTCTGGCCTGATTGTGGGCATACTTTTGGTGCCCCAGTCTATTGCTTACTCCCTGTTGGCTGGCCAAGAGCCTATCTATGGTCTGTATACATCATTTTTTGCCAGCATCATTTATTGCCTGTTTGGTACCTCACGCCACATCTCTGTGGGCATTTTTGGAATACTGTGCCTTATGATTGGTGAGGTAGTTGACAGAGAAGTACATAAAGCCTGCCCTGACATTGCAGTGGTTTCAAATGGATCCGAGTTAGTAAACCATACATTAGACAGACTTTGTAACAAAAGTTCTTATGCAATTAAAATTGGCAGCACTGTGACCTTCATGGCTGGAGTTTATCAGGTAAGAAATGATGAACAGTTAGGCTGGGTGTGGTGGTCCAGCACTCAGGGGCAGGGGCAGGGGCAGGGGCAGGAGGATCTCTGTATTTGAGGCCCGTCTGGTTTTATAGCAACTTTTAGGACTACATGGTGAGACCCTGAGACATCAGCAAAGGACAAAAAGGGAGGGAGAGACTCAGCAACTGGTTATTTCTGGCAAAAGTAATCATTATAAACAAAATCTCTGGTGTGGGGGCTGTTAGGGGTTGTAGTAAAGCTACCATTTACTGAATGCGGGAGATATGAATGGTAGAACCCAAAGCCAAACTCCACATTCCACTGGTTAAATAGGGCTGGCTTCCTGCCTGTTTCTAGGCTGTCTCATAAGCAGAGACTGACAATCAGGTTTTTATTATTAAAAACAAAATTAGACCAGAAAATGTCCTCAGAGCAGCTAGTACAATTCTTAACTTTCTTTGTTGGAAACACTGGGTTTGCTTAAGCTCATGTGTGGCTGATTATTAGTCAAATCTCCATGAGTAGTCAGACATGAGGGTGATAGATTGGGGAGGGGTGGAGAAGGGTGCCAGAGTCATTCAAATAACTGCCAGTTCCTGCCTTCATTAAGAATAGCTTCTTCAATGAGAAGCTTCTGCTAAATTTAGTAGTCCTCTTGGATTGATGAAGAGAGAGAAAAAAAACTTGAGGATCACCATTTTACTAGCCAAGAGAAATGATTACAAATTCTTGAGTCTCTTATGGAAACCGCTAATCTGCTGTTATGATTATGCCCCCACCTTTTAGCATCCAGAAATCAATACCAACATCAAACTTGCTCTCTACTGTAGGCATTTGGAACCAGGAAGAATAGTTGGCTTTAGTTGGCACTTGGATGAGGTGGGAGAGATGGAAAGAAGGGGTGATGGTGTGTGTTGCCTAGGGTCCATGATGGCTTTCTTAATATATATCTCATTAAGGTGGGGAGGAGTAGGAGAATTCTTTGAACTTGGGCAGAAAGGATAGAGTAGCATTGCTCAGAGGTGTTACAGCATGTGATTCAGTTTTAATGTGAAACCAGTTAAAATTTTACTTTCAGATATATAGTGGTACATGCCGGTAATCCTAGCATTTGGGAGGTAGAGGCAGGTAGATCAGGAGTTTTGGGTCATCAAAGTTCAAGGCTACCCTGGGACCATCAGACCCTGCCTCCAAAAATAAAAATTAAAAACCTCCATTTTACGGTAATAATTTTTAATTTAGAGAAAATATTTTCTTAAGTAGAAGAATTTCTTGAATTTGAGTTTGTATACATTTGTTTGGAACCTTGAAAATACTCTTTGAAAGCAAACTGAACAATGTCCCGGTTTTAAATTATTGTATAAGTAGAAACCCTAAGTCTGCTGGGCGATCGTAGCACACACCTTTAATCCCAGCACTCAGGAAGCAGAGACAGGTGGATCTCTGTGAGCTTGAGGCCAGCCTGGTCTACAGAGCAAGTTTCAGGACAGACTCCAAACCAAAAAAAGAAAAAGAAAAGGAAAGGAGAAATGAAAGGAAAGGAAGGGGAGGACAGAGACAGAGAGACAGAGAGACAGAGAGAGAGAGAGAGAGAGAGAGAGAGAGAGAGAGAGAGAGAGAGAGAGAGAGAGAGAGAGAGAGAGAGAGAAACCACAAGATGCCACTATACCCAGTCCTCTAGGTGGGCTAGTGAGTATGACTTTAGGCAAGCTTCCTTGTCTTGTGACATGAAAAGTCACGTATGATTGTGTTTCTTTTAGCTCTCACACTCTCTGGTACTCTGATGGGTTTGTTGCCATGCAAGGAAGACCAGGGTGGTATGAACCTGAGGAGTTCATTCCCATCTCTGTTTAACACTTGCATATGCTCCCTTTCAGGTAGCGATGGGCTTCTTTCAAGTGGGCTTTGTCTCTGTGTACCTCTCAGATGCCTTGCTGAGTGGATTTGTCACGGGTGCCTCGTTCACCATTCTTACATCTCAGGCCAAGTACCTCCTTGGGCTGAGCCTTCCTCGGAGCAATGGTATAGGCTCAGTCATCACTACCTGGATCCACATCTTCAGAAACATTCATAAGACCAATGTCTGTGATCTTGTCACCAGCCTTTTGTGTCTTCTGGTCCTTTTGCCAACCAAAGAACTCAATGAACACTTCAAGGACAAGCTCAAGGCACCGATTCCAACCGAGCTCATTGTCGTTGTGGCAGCCACATTAGCTTCTCATTTTGGAAAACTAAATGAGACATACAATTCCAGTATTGCTGGACATATTCCCACTGGGTTTATGCCACCCAAAGCACCAGACTGGAACCTAATTCCTAATGTTGCTATAGATGCAATAGCTATTTCTATCATTGGTTTTGCTATCACTGTATCACTTTCTGAGATGTTTGCCAAGAAACATGGCTACACGGTCAAAGCAAATCAAGAAATGTATGCCATTGGCTTTTGCAATATCATACCTTCCTTCTTCCACTGCATAACTACTAGTGCAGCTCTTGCAAAGACATTGGTTAAAGAATCAACAGGCTGCCAGTCCCAGCTGTCAGCTATAGTGACAGCCCTTGTTCTTTTGTTAGTCCTTCTGGTAATAGCTCCTTTATTCTATTCTCTTCAAAAATGTGTCCTTGGTGTGATCACTATTGTAAATCTCCGGGGTGCCCTCCTTAAATTTAGAGACCTGCCAAAGATGTGGAGGGTTAGCAGAATGGATACGGTTATCTGGTTTATTACTATGCTGTCCTCTGCTCTATTGAGCACTGAAATAGGCCTGCTTGTTGGAGTTTGTTTTTCTATGTTCTGTGTAATCCTCCGTACTCAGAAGCCAAACGTTTCACTGCTTGGTTTGGAAGAAGAGTCAGAAACCTTTGAATCCATTTCGGCCTACAAAAACCTTCAAACCGTGTCAGGCATCAAGGTTTTCCGCTTCATAGCCCCTCTCTACTACATAAACAAAGAGTGCTTTAAATCTTCTTTGTACAAAAAAACCCTGAACCCAGTCTTGGTAAAGGTGGCTTGGAAGAAAGCATTGAAGAGGAAGCTCAAGGAGGAAACCGTGATTTTCGGTGGCATCCAAGATGAAGTTTCAGTGCAGCTTTCCCATGATCCCTTGGAGCTGCATACTATTGTGATTGATTGCAGTGCAATACAGTTTTTAGATACAGCAGGGATCCACACACTAAAAGAAGTTCGCAGGGATTATGAAGCCATTGGCATCAACGTTTTACTGGCTCAATGCAATCCTTCTGTGAGGGATTCCTTGACCAGAGGAGATTACTACAAAAAGGAAGAAGACAACCTTCTCTTCTACAGTTTGTCTGAAGCAGTGGCTTTTGCAGTGAACTCTCAGAAGCAGAAAGGAGTGTGTGTTCTCAATGGCCTGAGTCTTTCTGGTGACTGAGAAAGTAAGTGAAAGGAAGAGTGTCTTGCCAGTTTCAACGTGCAGCATTTTCTACTGTGAAGAGAGAAAGTGGTGTACACTTGAATAGTTCTCCTTTGAAGCTAATAGCCTTTTGATAGTCTCAAGTGCAGTAAAGCTTATAGTTGGGTAGAATCAAAAAAAAGAGCATGCTGTGGCTTCAGACTTTCATGCAGATGAGCATTCTTGGGGGTACAGTATAAATGGAATGGAACTGTAAAGTAGCCCCCAAACTTAATCACCTTACTTTAGGGACTGTACATCTGAACTCCACCCTTCAGGAAGACAGAGATGAAATAGGGGTTTGCTTTGCACACACTGGAGCCTTTGCATGGCTCTGTGCAGAGGGGAAGGAAGGCAGCATTGCCGGTTCAGAGGCTGATGAAGCATGAGGGCCTAACTAGATGAGTTCTGTTCTGTTCTCACTGCTGTTTCTCTGTTTGTGTTTGGCTCCCAAACAGAGTAAGATCTGTGACTGGTAGCTGGAAATACCATTTTCCTCTCCTTCATGCAGGAACTGTGGCATAGTCTCCTAAGAGGATCTGGTCCTGACAGCCAGCCTGACATTGTACAGAACTCTATGGTAAACATCTGATGTTTTAGCCATGCCTTTTTTATTTAGAAAACGTAGGTAAGGAAAGAAACAGTGGGAGTCTTTGTTCTTCCTCTCCATTTGCTTCTGAGAATTTGCCTACTGTCAGGCTCTGTCTCCCCTATGACTTAGCCTAATGTTTTCTCCTGGAATCTGTTTTGTTGGTATTTCTGAAGCAGTGACAGTCTTGTCATGCAAAGCAGAATATTGGCTCAGCAGCTCTTGCAGGACTTGTGCATATTCAAGGATTGCAAAAAAAAATGAATGAATGAATGAATGACAGTTCCCATTAAGAAATTCCACCAGCAGCAACAACCAATCACTGTGGCATTTTAGCAAGGATCTGCTGGGCTTTGGTAGTCTTTTTTAATCGAAGTAGCTGTTTGTAGAAGACTATAGAGGTGATAGAGTGCTTCCAAAAGAACGTCCACAATTACTTAGCAGCATCATGAAGACAGTGCTGATGCTTACTGCCACGCACACAAAAGAACGTCCACAATTACTTAGCAGCATCATGAAGACAGTGCTGATGCTTACTGCCACGCACACCTGTTGGTATGGGATAAGTATTGATGTTGGTGACCAGTTTTAACTTGTGTGCAGGAGGACTTGGAACCTCTCAGAACCCTAGTTTAGCTCGTGTGTCATTCTCCATCGCTGCCACAGATTATGAGTTGAGCAGTTTCTTCAGAAAAGCACTTTGACGGGTGAGAAACATTCACCCAAGTGAAGCACAGAGGACTAACTACATGAGATTAAAACACTTACCCAAGTCATCCAAGTACCCATTGCCAAAGTACAGAATCAATTTTAGCCTGTTCTTATATGCAAAACAATTTAAAATATTTATGGGATGCAACCTCTGTGTAATGAACCTACTGAAGTAGATAGAATGTTTTTAAATCTCTCTCTCTGTCTCTCTGTCTCTGTCTCTCTCTGTCTCTCTGTCTCTCTCTGTCTCTGTCTCTCTTCTCTGTCTCTGTCTCTCTCTCTGTCTCTCTCTCTGTCTGTCTCTGTCTCTGTCTCTCTCTCTCTCTCCAAAAAGATGTTTTCCTATTGGCATTGCACTTATGTTTCCTTATGTGAGAAATACTTTTCTGTGATCCCAATACAAGTTTCAGAGTAGAAATTTTGGCTTTCTGTCTTATAGGTGGTAATGTTGATAAAGACCACATTGCCATGGAGTTTGACATCCCTCGTGAACTCTGCCCTAGAATTTCAGAAATGTTAACTGCTGCTTGCTTGTTCTTTTGTATAGCTCTCTGGCTTTATGAATTGTAAAATCACAGTATCCCAGTCATTTTTTAAAAAATCCCTCCTGACCTTTCCTCAAACCAGGTTGGAATTAAGACTGTTACAGACGTTTAATTCTCAGTGAGAGACTAGTAGGTACGTTAGTGGCAGCTGGAGAGACGCTCAGTAGAAAAGTACTTGCTACTCTTGCAGAGGGCCCAAGTTCAGTTCCCAGCACCCACATTAGGCAGTTCATAGTCACCTGTAACTCCAGCTCCAAGGTATCTAACCCTCTCCTGACCCCCGTGGGACACACACACACACACATTTTTTAAAGTACATGTTTAAGATAACTGTATAATCCATTCAACACCAGCAGCATAGAAAAAGAATTTTAGTTTAGTGTTTGGAACATATCTGCCCTTTTGCCTGACATGTAAGTTTATAGTGTGGCTTAATAGGTTCTAAAGTTCTACACATGCATGAGCAAATGCTCAAATTATGTTCTGGTTTGTGTTTGTCCCACGAAAACAAACAGGAGCCTGCTTTTAATAGCATTTTAAAAACATAATTGCACTAGAAACTGTTGTAGTCATCTTCTTTGGGTTGAGATCTTCCTAACATCAAAAATTAAAACTGATTTGGTTGCTAATAATCGAAGGAAACAAATCTAGAACCAAAGACTAATTTACTACCACCAGCAGCAACAACAAAAAACATTTTCATTTCTTTTTGATGCTTTAAACATATTCATGTAAGTTGTCTTGTTCACTCAGAACATTAGAGTATAATATATTTTCTGTTTACAGAAATTTAAAACCCTGAATGTTGCTAAATGGTGAACATTTAAATGAAATACGGACTGTGCCTGTGTCTCTGTGTATTTTATGACAAGGCCTTATGTAGCACAGGCTGACCTCAAACTTGCTAAGTAGCTGAGGGTAATTGTGAGCTTTTGGTCCTCCCGCCTCTAACTCCAAGTGCCGGAGTGACAGGTGCATAGGGATGAAGTGTGCTAGTGTGAACTCAGACCTGCCACACAAAGAAGACAGCTCTGAGAATTAAAGGAACAGATCTCTGAAAACTGTATCTGAGCAGAAAGGAAGAGACCTGGCTGGACTGGGTGTGTGTCCTGGTAAACCCACAGTAAGATCAGGATTCAGAAGTCTAAGAGCAAAGTTGGGAATGGGTCTCTTTCTAGAAGGTAGGGCCACAGGCTCACCAAAGCCTCAAAGAGCTAAGAAGCATATGTCAGGTTGTAGCCAGAGTCTGGGTGGGCCTACTCAGGAGTACCGTCATCCCTGTGAGCCGAGTGGCTGTAGTGTTGTCTGTCTCAGATAGGTTAAGACTGGCAGGCACCTCGTTCATTTTAATCAGGGTCAATGAAACATACTTTATATAAAAATTTCCAGCACAGCAAATGGTGAACTTGGAGACTACATGAGATGCTAGATGGGTACATTAGACTACTGCTCCTGGCAACATTCTAGCACAAACAGCAATCCTCTGCAGGGCTATTCCTGGCAATTTGACATCGAAGAACACATTGCCAGTTAACCCTGATCTGCAAAGTACAAAGAGGAATTCAGTAGGTTTGGGGACTAACTTCGAGTCTCTTCATTTACACTAATGGATTCGAGCTCTGCGGCCCCGTTCATATCCTTACTAAAGCTTTTCTTGTAGGTACTGTCAGATGAACTGAGGGTTATCTGCATGGAAATAAATGCTTCTTTAGATATCCCAAAATATCTGGGAAGTAGGTGTCCCAGTGGGGACTTAGAGAATGTGGAGAGTGCCTGAGCTGAGATTCTGCAGAGGCCCAAGCTCGAGGCAGTGCCCTGTCCCCACCCCCCATATACATTCAGGAAAGAGTCTGTAGTACAGTGGAATTCTCCAGTTGATAAACTTTACCCAGTCTTTTGTTCTTCCCCTCTTGGAATCTTTCCTTGCTTCTAGTGATACTTTAATTTGAAGTTGGGTTTTAAAGCTGTCAGACCCTTTGTGGGCATGGCGACTTGCGAACTACTTGGAAGCTGAGACAGGAGGATTGAGTCTTTGAGGCCAGCCTGAGATACTCAGTGAGACCTTGCCAAAAGAAGAAAAAGCAAAACTAGCTAGCAATTGGAGACTCATTTGTCCTCCATTCCCTTTTTGTATAAAAATAATAATCATGGATGATAGTAAATTTGGGTTCTGAGTTTAAACATGAAAATTATAGTGAACAGGATAAAACAGTATACCAGCTGGTTTTTCATAGACTATATCATAAAGTAAAATGCAACTGAATTTGTGTTAAAAGTAAAATTTTAAGTTTTAAAATAATAACTTAGAAATGAAGGCTTTGATGTAGAAGGGGGCATTTTTAATAAAGTAATTTTTATCATGGAGAGAACTATTTTTTTACTAAAAGTATTTTGTAACTTAAATTTTAAAGTAAACCTATTTTTAAATACCATTAAAAAGTCAAAGAAACATCTAGTAGGTTTTTTTTAGTGTATATTTTGTACCTTATGACTTAGTTTCAAATAAGAATGTATTGAAGGATGCAGACTGGGCAGTGAGGGCATCTAAGCTTTTATTGGGGACACTGTATTTTAAGTCTGTCATAGCTGCTGGGTCACAGAGGGTTTTCATTAGACACTTGAATAGACTTATTCTGGGGGTGATCATGTACTCTGCTCCTCATCCCTAGGAGGAAACACAGAATCAAATAGCTGTTTCCTCTTCAGTGCAGATCACTTGGGAAATTGGGATCTGAGTCCTGATGCTGCGTGGCTGTTTCTCAGAAGGGAATGTGAATGTCTGCAGAGCCTGCTTTCCTCCTCCATAGCCTCGTGTACACGTGCAGACAATATGGGGACAGGTGAATGCACCTCAATTCTCAGTCCTTACCTAAAAAGTATGGCTGCCACCATCCTTTACCCTTAGGAACATATTTTATAGTAGGTTTTTTTAATCAAGTAAGTGCCTTGATGCTGTTCATCATAAATCATTGCTCAGCTGTCCTTCGGACAAAAGTGAGGTAGTTCCTGTTGTGGGGGGGGCTCACTAATCATTTTCTTCTGGAAGAATGTGTTTCTATTGCTTATTTTGTAACGTCCTCATGTGTTTGAGATCTAAGATGCCATTTGTTTTTTTAATAAATTGTTACTGTAATAAAATATTACTGTGTCTAAATTACTTCAGTGCCAGAGGTTCTAAAACATCTAGATATTGGTGAATTTGATTAAATTTTTTTTAACTTTTATGTTTTGCCTGCATTGTATGTGTGCATGCACTGCCCACAGAGGCCAAAAGAGGGCATCAGATCCCTCAAGCTGAACTTAAAAGTAGTTGTGAGTCACCATATGAATTGAACCCTGGATCTCTGGAAGAGCAGCCAGTGCTCTTAACCACTGAGCCATCTCTCCAGCCCCCTATACCAGTGAATTCAAAAGTGCTGTCTTAGTGGGTATGATGGTGCAGGCCTGCTTCCACAGCACTCAGGAGATGAGGCAAGGGTGGGGTGATAGGAAGATCAAGGTTGTCTCAATAAATAAGTTATATTTGGAGAATGAGTCACTCAGTTTTCCCCAACTGCACAGAAGTATCCAATCACCAACAAAGCTCAGTGCTTTTCCTCTGGGGACTCAGTTTCTCCATTAGTGAAGACAACAGGAGGATTAGATTGCTTCAAGAGCCCTCTGCACTCACAATGCATGACTCCTGCAACATCAGACTCAGAAAGCCCAAATCGGGTTTGTTTGAGCAAGAGATGCTTAAACTCCATCTTCACATCAGAAAAGAGACACAAATACCCGAGGAGGACAGAGAACTTAGTGAAATTCCTAACTGGAGCACATTTAGACATTCTGCTGGTTGTCTTACACAGGTCCTCACCATGCAGTCCACGCTGCTGATTCTCCTGTCTCAGCCTCCTCAGGCATGTGCCATCATGTCTGGCTGCAAGGCCTTTGGTAGGACCACTTTCTACCATCCTGGGGTCTCTTGGGAGAGACTTATGCCTTCTCAAAGGGCTATCTATGGTCATTTTCTAGTCCTTTTGTAGCATCTTGGGTTTTTGTCCCCAACCTCATTCACAGTGAGCAGAGTGAGGGAGTTAACCATTCTGCACACAGAGTCTGCACACAGCACCGAGCATCCTGGACCCCTTGAAGAGCACTCAGTCATTCTCTGGTGTCTCATTCAGCCACCTTAGAGGGCTCTGTTCCCCCATATGTCCTTTAATGCTGTGTGTTCCTGCCCCCTTCATTTAGAGCCATTTCTTATGTTGTTTATTACGAAATCTAGTAGAAAGTGAACCTCTAGCTCTTGGAGAAATATTTGCATGTGCATGCATAAACACAATTACAATAAGGTGGGTTCAAGTCAGGCACAGCCATGCAACTTTTGTAATCCCAGCACTTAGGAGGCTGAAGCTGGAAGACTGCAAGTTCAAAGTCAGCTGGGTTACTATATAATGAGACCATATCCCAACAAATGTGGATTCATGAATCCTCTTGAACACTGCACACTCTCTCCAGGTGTTTACATCAACACCTATAGCTTCGGCCACCTTACTTCCCTTGCTAAGGGTGTATTAGGTCTCTCTTGAGGGTGGAAGGGTGGCCCAGTTTAAGAGCATGTGCTGCTCCTGCAGAGGATCTGAGTTTGGATCTTAGCACCCACATCAGGCAGCTCACATATGTCTGTGACTCCAGCACCAAGACATCCAATGTCTTCTTCTGGACTTATGCATTTATGCACACCTACACCCCCACAACATAAAATTATAAATAAACCTTAAACAAATTTTTTAAAGTATTGCAGTCTAGCCTTAACAGTAACTGCACTTTTTAGACTCCTAAGAGTTTGGATTGTAGGTATAAACCAACATTTCCAACTCTAGTTATTAATTATTTAACTTAAAAAATTACAACTTATCATAGTTGTGCAGTGTTTTCAGGATAAGCTCAAGATAGAGGCCTAGCTGACAAGACCTTACAAACTCTGACCTTAGAAGGCAGTGGTGGCACACGTCTTTAATCCCAGCATTTGGAAGGCAGAGGCAGGTGGATCTCTGAGTTTGAGGCCAGCCTGGTCTACAGAGTGAGTTCCAGGACAGCCAGAGCTACACAGAAAAACCCTGTCTGAAAACAACAAAAACATTGGCATTGATGGAGCATTTCGGTGCATGCCTGCCATTTTAGCATTCAGCACAATGAAGTGGGATTACCAGCTCGTGGCCAGCTGGGTTACACAGCAAGACAAAAAGCTTTCTTGAAAGCAACACCCAAAAATAGTCTCCCCGTAAGAGAGAGGAAAAAGTAACCCAGCTGTGCCCTTGATAGTACCTCTAGCCTGTGTTCTACCACACATTTTTTGTCTAGCATGCGAACCATCACCTTAGGTGCCCAAACGAAGCAGCAAACACCCCAGGCCTTTATACCATTGCACCTCGAGCTGCCTCCAACCTCTTCTGCCATCCCGGCATGTTGCTACCTTCTTTTGCTCTTAACAATATTTTCCATAAGTTTCCTCTTCTGTCAATCAGGGGGCCCTTTGGGCTCCAACACCTACACTCCCTTGTAGTCTGTGCATAGTAAGCAAAATGATGGTTATCGTTCATTTCTACTACCTGAGCTTCTTGAGGGTAGCCCATGTACAGAAGGTCAGCAGTACCTACGTTATAAGGTAAAATGAATCATTATTGAAAGCACTGATATGTTTGGCAGATAAATATTTCTTCAACAACTCATTTCTGGAACATGCCTATCAAGGCAGTTACATGGACAATAATATCCATAGGTTGAAAAAAAAAGTCTTTAATGAGACATGTAATGATAGGTTAGATAATCTCAGGCACAGTTAGTTCCATTTTTAGTCATGTGAATGAGGCCCACACTCTGTGTCTCCTCTTTTGCTTATCTTCCCTAGATATCTTTACCATGTCAGAGCAACTACAGCAGGATGCACCTAAGGTTTCTTCAGTTAAACTTTCTCCCTTATGTAGCCCACCTTTTCCCTCTAGTGGCAGGAATATGCAACTACACTTTAAAGTAGCATTCAGCTCTGTAACTTGAAATTGTACTTTTGAATTGGTTTTCTTTTTTTGTTTGTTTGTTTCGTTTTGTTTTTTGTTTTTCGAGACATGGTTTCTATGTAGCTTTGGAGCCTGTCTTGAAACTCCATCTGTAGACCAGGCTGACCTCAAACTCACAGAGATCTGCCTGCCTCTGCCTCTGCCTCTGCCTCTCTGCGCCTCTGCGCCTCTGCACCTCTGCCTCTACCTCCTCCCAGGTGCTAGGATTAAAGGCATATGCCACCACCATTGCCTGGATGGGAGAGACACTGTTGAGACACTGTGGCCTGGCTGACTGAATAACTATCGATGGTTTCATGTTTTCTGTCCCGGAAGTATTGCAACAAAGAAGGTCATCAACCACGATTTTGCTTTCTTGCCCTCTTTACAATGGTCCTTGTCTACGTTAGAGTTTCTGTTGCTGCGATAAAACATCATAACCAAAACCAACTTACAGCTTGTGGTCAGTCTGTCATCCAGAGAAATCATGGCAGACACTCAGGTAGGAACAGGAGAGGCCACAGAGCAGTACTGCTTACTGGCTTGTTCCCCATGACTTATATACTCCAGGATCACCTGCTCAGACTTGGCATCACCCACCATGGGCTGGGCCTTCCCACATCAATTATTAATCAGGAAAATACCCCCTACTGACTTGCTTACAGGGCCAATGATATGGAGACATTTTCTCAATTCAGATTCCCTCTTCCCGGATATATCAAGGTTTGTGTCAAGTTGACAAAAGCCAACCAGCACAGTCCCTTCAGTAGAAGTGTGTGCAGGGGAAGCAACTAGGGAAAAGACAACTCCTGTCTCATCAGTATTAAAGATGCCATCTGGACCAAAGTCAGCAATCATGTCACTCATTAACCTTATGTATCCATTATGTCACCTGCCTTTCTGCAGAATGCTTTCAAAGCAGTTCCATGGAGATCTACAAATCTGTTCAGTCAGCTCACGGTTGCTTGAAAATTATCAGTCAAGCATATTGGCCAAGTTCAACAGTGGTCCTGAAGTATATTTGCTTAGGCTGCTATAACAATAGATTGAAATGGGTTGCAAAAGCTTGCAAATAGCAACGCACTATGAATTCAAGGAGCTATACACCTTGTTTTGTAGATACATAGCAAGCCAAAGGAAGAGTCTGGTCCAGGGTCATGAAGCTTTCTTAACTCAGATTACTGAGTGCCTGGTATACCACAGCCCTGCTCAAAAGTCTGCCAAAATGAGAACTTCAAATTCTCTCTCCATCATCTTAAAAAGATTTTCACTACAGGAAGCTGTTTCGGGTGTCACACATTCACTCAATGACCATTTAATAAGGCAATCACAGGGTGCAGTAAGTAAAGATGATTGTAGAGAAGAAAAGCAAAAGAACTGTCTGACATGGGGCTGTGGGTCTTGCGATCCAGCTACAGGGGAGGTTGAGGGAGCACAGTCAGTTGGTTGCCAGACTCAGTACATTAATGAGACCATCTCAGATAAACTTTCTAAAGGCTCTGGGGATGTAGTTCAGTGGTAGAGTATTTGCCTAGCATGCTCAAGGCCCGGGGTTCAATCCTCATTACTGCAGAGGCTGTGGGGTGAGGTGGGGAGAAACCCTGTCTTGAGGACCAAACAAACAAATAAGCAAACAAAAACAGAAATAAAATCAATCTTGTTATTTTGTGGGAAATGGATTGGGATATTTGGATGCTGTTACTGATGGTTTGGGTAGGAGATAATGGCAAAAGTAGTGGGTGGGTTACAGCACAGCCTCTCTCTGGACTTGTTTCCTGTTTTAAAATGAAGTTGGGCATGATAGTGCACACTTGTAATCCCAGCATTGGGGCTGCTTAAAGCTGAAGGCCAGTCAAGCTGTATAACAAAGACCCTGTCTTCAACAAATAAGTAAGCAAGAAAGACTCGAGACTCAACAGGGGAGTGCAAATCAGATCTGATACACAAATGTGACATAGCACAGATGTGATATGCAGAATAAGCCTCCATGGGAACATATTTAGTTTTAAAAACTCAAAGTGATTTTGATACATTGCATATTTGAAAGCTGTTGAGGGGTATCCACCAGAGGAGACTGCTCAGACATGGGTTTAAGCAAGT